GTCGCTGCCCCCCCCCACGAAGGACCCTCGCAGCCTGGTCCCGCTCGCGGCTTTGGGTTCACAGCAGCACACAAACCCCTCTGCCAGCCGGACCCCCCCTCTGCCAGCTGTACCCCTCTCTCTCTCCGCCAGCCGGACCCCCGCTCTTTTCCGAGGCCCGGCCTGGGAGAATCGCCCTGGTTGTGGTGGCAGAAATCCCGGTGTCACAGGGCGCCGACTGTGCCCCTGCCTTCCTGGGTCGCTGCCTGCATGGCGGCACGGATTGCTCTGCAGTGCTAAAGGGAGAGGGGTTTGGGTTGTGCTGCCCGCCCCTACACCCCAAACTCCGTGGCTGGGGTGAAGCAATTGCACCTGAGCGGTCTTAAACACAGAGAGGCCCAGACACCGCAGCTTTACCGCGGATAACCCAGGTTTGAGGAACAGCAGTGTCTGCTGTTGTGGGGTTGTCTTCATTCCAAAGCTCAAGCGTCTCATTTCCACTTTGTTTTCACCTTCACATGCGTCCGCTGCCTGTTCAGTTCACCCATTAACTGTAGGGCTAAGTCAGAGAGAAGTTTCAGGCAGAGCAAACAGGGTCAAGCTAAACAGATGTGAGGTCCTTCACGTGGGACTGGCCTGGATGGACTCCTCCACCAACGTGCGTACACAAGCCTCGGCTGCTGGTGGTCTTCCCTGCCCCCCAGCTGTGTTTGTTCAGCATCTGAGAGGAGGGCATCTGGGGCTGGGAGGAGGGCTGCTCAGCCCTCCCCAGCACAAACCCACCCCAGCGCTGCAGCCAGGTCTGCCACGAGGACCCGCGTGCTCCGGGAGACCCCCGCAGAGCACCCTGGTTGAGGATTGCGTGGAGCGAGCTGGCCTGGCAGATGTGGTTCCTGGTGTCAATTGGTGTCTGTGGTGGGAGCCAGCGCACAAAAGGGTCGTTAGGGTGTTAACCTGCAGTTCCTCTTGCTGTCCCGTTTGCTACGCACAACGCGATCGTACTGAGGGTGTCAGAGAAAACCTCGATCCGCAGACAGGGTGAGCAAATCCCTTCCTGCGTGGGGCTAACTGCCTGCAATGCCTCTGAAAAACCTGGCGATAGGGATGCCCCTCGTGCACTCCCTTCCTCCCTGTCGCAGGTTTCCATCCTTTCTACCGGCTTGCCCCAGAATAAGTCCGTTATCCCACTCGAAGGGAGTGACCTAACTGACTTGGATCAAGTATTTTGTAATGACGTGCGGCGCTTGCCTGTGAACTCTCTGTCACGGCAGGGTTATGAACAGTACGTGACAGTTCTCCACTGGCTTCTGGTCACCGGTTTTCTAGTTTGCTTCTCATCTGTGCCTCATTACGTGTCCAGATTTCTGTTACTGATCTGCTGCAACAGCGCATCTTTCGCAAACTATGATTTTTCCCTAGATTGGTGTTCTTCCCGATCCTGTAAAAATTATTCTGCATTGCTCATTTCACCTCAGGATACCTTCCCCTCGTGGAAAACTCCTTCTTGAATATCGCTTCAGCTTTTCTAAGGAAGAATTGGTTTTGTGTCTGCTTCCAACGTTGAATCTCTGGTACAAACCATCTAGGCTACCCAAACAGGGAGAAGACAATGACGGGATGAGAAGTAGCTTTACACAAACACCAACTCTTTTGTAAAACATCGGGGCATAATCGCAAATGCTATTGTTTTTTTCAGGGCTGTGGCAGAGTCTGTCACCACAGCTTTAGTCAAAGAATGGCACGGGGAGCCCAAACCAGGGAACTGAACACGGTCATTCGTTTCCAAAAAATAATCTGCCGTCCATTCCAGGCATTGAGACATCTGAAGCTACTTGGTGTTTCAGTAAGCGGTGTGGTTTGCTGTAGAAAGATGCCCTTGAGTAACGAGATCGTGGAACTTTTTGGTAGAGGACGTGCAGCTAATGGCCTCAGAAAAGGCCTGTGAAGAATTTGTTTCATTTTCAGCTGCTGTTTCTAGCAGTCTGACAAGCTCAGACAGGGTTGAGCAGAACAGTTTACAACAGCTACTGTGCCCTTCAGTGGTGGGCCAGCCACAACGGAGAGCCTCCCCCCCCAGCTCCTCTATTAAGGGAGCTAGACAGGCATGTTTGTGGTCCCTCTTCCCAGACGGCTTTTTTCCAGGACCCAGACTAATGAATCTGAAGATTAAGCACAGCAATAAGCAACGCGGGAGACTGGGCCACCGACAAGGTAATTGCAGCTATTCCCAGGTTTCTGGGAAACCCAGCGTAGCTCAGAGCTGATCTCCGGATCATGACAGAGAATCAGCGGGGAGTTTATTTTATCCCTTTCAGCTCTTCAGAAAGACCGCCTGGAAATCCGATAGGACGCCAGCCCGGGCCCACCCTGCTTTGCAGGGCTGAAGGGTTTTGTTTGTGGCAGCCTTTGTCTGGCAGGGGGGGGACGAGCGGCTGGTCCTTCGGTTAGACGGAAGAATGCTTTCAGCGATGCTGGCTTGGAGACTGATGTTTCTGCCACTGCTGTTGGCAAATCTGGAGACGGGTATTTTATCCTGGAAAAGCTCCCTGCGGGGTGGGGTTCAAAGCTCCCAGCGAGGGGACGGGAGGGCAACCCTCGCCGACTCGGTCGCGTGGCCTCCGGCGTAGGTGCGGAGGCGCGGAAATAACTCGGTTAGCCTCAGAGAGGAAGAACTGCAGCTGTATAATCGCCCCATGCCAAGCCACAAGCGCCTCGGGGGACATTCTTGCGGAGAGCACCTGGCTGAACTGGAACACTGGAATATGGTCTATCGGTTCGACAGATGTAAATTCTAGGCCTTATATTCCTCATCACCTAAGGAATCGTATATAAGGATATAATAACTAATAAGGAGAGTGCAAAAGAGTTGCCATAAAGCCGCTTCGATTTCTCCTCCTGTGAGGAGGAGGCGGAGGGGATTCGCTCAGCCGGAAGGTAGCTCTTGGGATTTTCCGAGGGGCTTGGGAAACTAAAGCTAGCAGCTAATCTGGACTCTGTCCCGCAGTCCTTAATTTATTATCTGGAAATTTGGAAAAATGCAAGTGTCTCGAATTAAAACCGAGAACCATTTATGTGTCGTGGTTAATGCAGATTTATTTCTGAGAATACAATAAATTCAGCACAAATTGGAACCAGCTGCCCCAGCTCTAAGTACCTGAAGTTCCCCCTCTGCATCACCAGGCCTAGGATTCGGACGCAGTCATGCCGCAAGTCTCACTGGCCAAGGGCACAGCTCAGCGTTGTCCTTGCTTACACAGGACAATAAATGCTCCTAGGCAAGGACTGGCAAGGGAGCTCGGTCAGGGAAAACCCGAGAGCCAAATCAATCTACTTAAAAAGTGATTGATTCCTCCAGTGCAGAGGGGAAGCAGGAACAAGGCTGATGGACACAGGGGAACACATTTTATTAGGGGAAAAAAAGTAGTCTCTTTGACTAGCATCCTTCAATAAATCTTCATTTGGGCTCCTGTCATTCCTGAAAGTCATAGCACAGAGAGGAGCGTGTCCTATTTTTAACTGTAAGAAAGAGGCGCGCGGAGGCAGAGACACTGATCTTCCCCAGACCTCAGGCTCTGCCACCACTTGCCGAGTCGCCTTGCATCCAGGCAGAACACCCAAGAGCAGTAACCCTGAAAAGGAGCCTGCAGCTTTCCGCCACTCCAAATACACAAAGTCTTTTTCACAGCCAGGGGTAGGTTGGCAGAACAGGCTATTTCACTTCCCTTTGCCCGTATTCCTCCCACCCTGTCTCACCTATTTGAATTGCAAGATCCGTAGAGCAGGACTTTCATGCAGGTCACAGCTATGCAGATTTTTATTGCCACCTGGGGAAGATCTAGGTAAATATCACAGCTACTGGCCCATGTGCCTTCCCTCCAGGCAGCCCACGTGCCTCGTGTAACTGCTCAGCGAAGTGGTAGGGCACCAGCTTTGATCATTACCCCAGCTATGGGAGCATCTGTATTGTGCCAAGCTCTCCGCACAGACACCAGATAAACCGTGGGCATTCTGCTTCCCAACAGCCATGAAGAGCTCTTCCTCCGCTGGCCTTGAGATGCTCATCACAGAGAAACATGGAGGGGGTCAGGGAAAGATTTTAGCTGAAATTACCCTACAATAAATGACCTTTAGTGTCTCTCATTTGTAAATTTGGAAGCTACATAGCCAGCATTTCCATTTACAGTCTGATAATACACAGTCAGACAAAAATTCTAGTAGGAAATAGGTTGAGGTGACCTTTTGGAAGAAGAGAAAAAGGCGGTTTTGAAAACACGTCTGTTTCTTTTCAGTTTCTTTTTTCTCTTGAGCAGCTCAGCTGCTGGCCACAGCATTTGGTCCCTGTCAGGCAAGTCAGCTCCAGCCAGAACATCCAAGTACAGCAGAGAGTTTTGCTGTATTGTTTTCAAAATCAGCGATTGTAATCACTAGGGAGTAAAGCATCAGGTAACAGGGTGCCTTTTTGCAGCGGAGTAGGTTACTTTCAACATGCTCTGGCTATCCCCGAGAAGAGGCACTATGCACATTTCAGCCACGCTAAGCTACAACTTGAAAACGTTTGCATAAACCCAGCTGCATCTCCTCTGCCCGGAGGATGTGCTGTTGGCAGACCATGTAGGAACGACAAGTTCTCAAGCGGGAACGACACAGCGAGATGAAGAACGTTTTGGCCTTATTACACCATGAAAGACCAGAAAGCCAAGAGACAGTCAACCAAAGCAGTGAACAGAGCACGTTCAGTGATGAGCAAGCCCTGCTGAATTTACTTTCACGTCCACCGCTTTGCAGTCCGGTTCTTTGCAACAGGACTACCAGCTGCTGCCACAAACCAGCATGTTTTGCTGATAGTAGCATGGAGAGAACTTCCCTGAGCCCTTTAACAGCAGCCTTCACACACACGCACATCATTCGGTTTCTTCTACTAACGCTGACACACTCAGCATTTTCAGCTGGATAAATCCTTTCCAGTCACTGTCTTGCATTAAACTCATTGCTGCATTTAACACTACTCACAGCTATATTTCAGTAAACAGCAAATTAGTTCCTGCACAGGCTAGTTTGCCAGAGTCCCTGGGAGCTTTTAGGCCATGAGACACCAAACAGGAAAATATTGCGAGGAAAAAAACCCGGGTAAAACACAGAATCTCTTACCTGCTGGGAATTGTGGAGGCACAGCCAACAGCAGCCTGCTGCAATGACCACCTTGGGGCCAGAAGAGCTCAGGTGTGCCCAGTTTAAAGGCTCAGCCCCAGCAAGGCGTGCTGGGAGATGGAGCAATCCTCCCCTGAGCATGGTGGGGAAAGGGGACAACAGCAGTTGCAGGGGGCTCTGGTTCTGAAGCACTCTTGAAAAATGACTTTTTTTGAGGGTTGGAGGGCGAGGAGCTTGGATCTGAGCTGATTTAGTTGCAAAGACAAGTTTGTTCGTTGAAACGCAGCTCCAGTGAGTGGCAGACACACACGCCCAGCTTCCCTGCGGGCAGGGCTCCGCACGGCCAAGCACCGCAGCTTTTCTCTGGCTCTCCTGGCCGTACGTCAGACCCGGGCAGGCAGTGTGGGCTGTGGGCTGCTGTTCCGTCTGACCCGGGATGGGAGTGATGCTGCAGGGTCAGGCTGCAGCCGCTGTTATTGTCACACGTGTCCAGCCCGACAGCGCTTCTCCACAGCACATCATGAGACCTTGGAGGCATCCTGCTTCCTGTGCATAACTCGGTCCTGGAGGGAAATTTGAATTTTGAGATGCACGAGCCTGGTGTGACCCCACAGGGACCTGACCCTGCCACGGTTGTCCCGGTGCTGCCCATTTAGAAGGCAACCAGAGGATGTGGTGAGCAGCCAGGTTCTCCAGCTAACCATCCTCTGTTTCTGTCAGGACAGTAGTGAGGCAGCAGACGGAGCTGGCCCCTGGGATGAAGAAGTCACCAAGTGGTGGGGAGAGTGGAGCTCCTGGTCCACCTGCTCCCGGTCCTGTGGGGGAGGCGTGATGTCCCGGGAGAGGCACTGCTTGCGACAGAGGTGAGTCATGTCCCAGCCTGCACCCTGGGCCAGGCCTTGAGCACCGAAGGGGAAACGGACTGCTCCTGACCTGCATTTTTGGGCCAAACCGCCTGGGTTTGCAGGGTTGTCCCTTCTCTCTTCTGCAGCCTCTCAGAAAGGAAGGTGGCTGTTGCTAGTGGGGTAGGCAGTGGTGGGGAGCGCTGATGAAGGAGAAGCACGCAGCAGTGGGGCAGGTGACAGGCCCCCTAAACACGTCACCCACTCAGCCTGGCTCGTCTGGTGGGGAGGAAGGGGTTGGTCCCCTCTTGGGGTCTGCGAGAGACTTGAAGGTGACAGGGTTGTGGGCTGGAGAAGACTAGCTCTGTTCCTCTTCCCTTTTCTTTCACCAACCCTTGCTTACCGTGGCTGCTTTGGCCAACCTGACCCTCATTTGTAGCCAGTTGCTGTGCTAAGGATGTGGGTACGTATTCCCAGACACCTTCTGGGGACTTGATTTACTCCTGGCAGCAGCCAGCTCAGCCACGTCTCGGCAATTTCCCCTCTGTCCTCTGCAGAGCTTGCAAGTCTTTCTCCCTCTGTCATTTATCTGGCTGTCACCTGGCAGCATCTCTGTTTGTCCCCTACAGCCACGTTTGTCCCCTGCAGCTGCTACAGTCCTGGTGTTGGTTGGACAGGGTTTGTGGGAGCTGGGCAACCTGAACTCAGCTGCCTGAACTCCTGCTGTCCCCTCCGGGTCCCCTTGCCACCAAGCCCTCTTCCTCCTTGGGCACCTCACTAACCTGCTGCTCCAGGCTCCCGAGATGTTAATGAGGTCCTGCAGCACAGCAAGCCCACGGGGCCTGCCTGCCCCACGCCCAGCCCCTTTCCCTTCTGCATGAATGCACTCCTGAGCGGAGAAAGCTCAGAGCAGGGCCCCCACCCGCTCTCCTGCCTGCAGCAGAGAACTTCTTTTATGCGGGCTGGTTGGCAGCATGGTGAGGGTCCAGCTGTGCTGCAGTACCTTCTGCCTGGACACGGCCTCCCCGCTAACTGGGCTTGCCAGTGTCTCAGCTGCTGTCCCTCCTCCCCAGCACATCATGGCCATCGTGGGAGAGCGGTGGGAAACAGCGGGCAGGAGGGAGCTTGGGGCTGTCTCACCCCCCGCACAGCCAGAGCAGCCCTGCTGCCCCAAGAGAGATTTTTCTCCCCATTTGACATTTGCTCAATCCTGGACCCCACAGCTGAGGAGGGGAGGGCTTTGCTGTGGCATTTTGCTCCAGGGTTCAAGTCTGAATCTTTTAAAAAAGAGCCCAACATAGAACCCAGCCAAAAAGTTTCTGCAGCTGTAAGGAGAACAGCTGAGGTGTGAGCCAAGTATGCTCACGAAACAATTTCTGCCCGAGTCTGCGGGCAGCCTCTGCTTCAGCTGAAAGGACTGGCAGTTTTCAAGCCTTTTGGTGCACATTTAGGCTTTGCCTACATTGTGCAAAGCGTTGCTCTGCAGTACCTCTAGCCAGTCCAGCTCGAATATACCTATGGGGTTCTTGATTGTACAGCGCGTCCGAAGTTCCCAGTCCTGTTAATGCATTGTCTGCTGCTGTTCTTTACAGAGACCACATTGCCTGAACCTGTGGTCTCAGCCACTCTCCCAACGTCTTCCCAGCTTTCAAGACTTCTTTCACCTTTGCATTGTTCAAGGACTCCGGTATCTCCTGGATAACTCCTGCTGGCCAGAGCTAAAGCATCAAGTGTTGAGAAATTCCCCTGGATTTGGTCCATCATCCTCACCAAGCCTTCTGTGCTAATCTTTTAAGGCGGCCAGTCCCCATGAGAGGTGCCATCTCTCTGGTTACTGCACAGTGAATCCTGAAACCACCTCCCCTGGTCACTGCAGATCCTGGGCGCTTCCACGGGAGCAATGGATCATCAGGGTCTATTGTCCTTTTGTCACATCAACCCTTTTGGAGCTCAGCGGTGAAGGGACACAGCGGTGGTAATACTGCTGTTGCTCTCTGTCTGCTCAGCCTGCCCCCAAAACCAGAGTAGCCTAAAATCACAGCCCACCTAAAAGCACTGAAAATGTTTTTCAGAGGAGATGTTGGCTAGCCTAGATCCAGAAAGCTTTGCTCTGATAAACCGCCTGCCTTGCTTCACCCAATTAAGTCAGGCCCGGCTTTTCCGTCGTCCTCAACACCTCAGTACTTCGCAGACCTCCGGCTCATTTTCCTTCTGCTTTGCAGGCTCCAGATGCCCCAGGGAACAAACAACACCATGTGTGTTGGTCAAGCCAAGCACTACCAACTGTGCCAGCAGCAGGTGAGAACCGCTTCCAGTACTGACTGGTCCTCGCTGGGGGATGCAGGACTCAGCGGGTCACGCTTGGAGCTGCAAGAGCACCAGCACTCAGAGTGCGACTGGTCTGTCAGAGGAGTGCAGACAAGGGTATGGTCCACTCCTGGAGTGGCTGACGGTGTGCCTTGGAAGAGGTGGGAGATGAGCTCTACTCTCTGGGTCTGAGAGATGGGGAAAAGGAGATAAAAACATATTTGTTGTCAGGTGGGGGGAGAGATGCAGTTCTTCAGTATGCTTTTCCCTTCGCCGGAAGTACTTTTTGCGGGACTGTTGAATACAGCTGTCTGAGGGGCCCTTGGCAACGGAGGCCTGGCCTTTCTCCCTGTATTACGGCACCTCGGAGTCCATCACTGTTTCCTTCCAGGGTGGATGGGGCATTTTCATCCTCCAAGGATGCAGCGAGGACAAGCAGCTGTCACAGCCATGGCTGTGACATAGGGAGCTTTTGATCACATTTATTCCCTCCATAGGCCTGCCCAGCCAACACAGCAAGCTTCAAACAGCAGCAGTGCTCCAGTTTCAATGCCAAAGCCTTTGGGAAGCGCTACTACCACTGGATGCCCCTCTATCCAGGTGGGTTTTCACACCTTCACACAAAGGATTAGGGCGAGAAAACACCCACAGGATCTTCTCAGACACAGGAGAAGGGGAATGTCCCAGGGGACAAGGGATGGATGCTCCTGGCTGGTCTGGAAGCGCTTCCCTATGCTCCCTGCTTTGGAGAAATCATTCCCTGTCTCTTCACAGAACCTCTCCACCCAGCCAGGCCTCCTCTTTCACCACATTGCTCCTGTTTTGGATCCTACATCAGCAAGCACTGGTGGGCAGACAGGACACAGGCTTCTCTGAGCTGTTTTGGCTAACCAGCAGTCATCCTGGCAGAGTGGGTGTTCACGCTCTTTGTGCCTTCTACCATTTTGGCTGCCTCTGTCGCCCAGCATGCTTCCCACTGGGTTGGTGGTGGGTTCTTCTGAACAGGATGCCCATCTGTTTCCTGCACAGGCGAGACAGATTGCTTCACATGGGTTGCCAGTTGTCCCTTGAGGCCCAGGTTGAGCTCACCTAAGCTGTTACCCTCTTTCTGGACCCATGGGTTTTTCCTCTTTCCATTAGCTGCCAAGGGGACATAGAACATCTGCATCTCTAGCTTCAGTTGCTCAGCTGAATGGGGTGTAGCTGGCCACGGCCCTACGGTCGGTACCTCTCTTACAGGTCTTGCTTGCTCTTGAGTATTTATGTGTGGCCTGGAATTTGCTGGTGCAGATTCCCAAGTCTGGCACAGGGGATGGCACTACAGAGGGGAAAGGACATGGCAGGAAGGAGGGTTTGCCAACAAGAAGTATTTCTGCTAGGCATGGTCCCCAGCTGCAGCCTCATACCACGACCCTTTTACTGCTACAAAATCTGTAGCCTTGTGGTCTCATCTCAAACAGCAAGAACATCCAAGGTGGTATCAAACCATCAGTATGGATGAGAGGAACATCCCCTTCCTCGCTGCCTGTCTCCGAGCACCTTGATGTGCCTGGTGACTTTCTGCCTCTGTCCCTTCAGATGACTACACCAGCATCTCCAACAAGCCGTGTGACCTCCAGTGCATCACCCGGAGCGGAGAGAGGCAGCTGATGGCCCGAGCACAGGATGGTACCTCCTGCAAGGACAGGACCTATCAAGGGGTGTGCATCAATGGGAAGTGTGAGGTGAGGCTCTGGGAGGAAGCAGCACAGAAGTTGGGCGTGTAAGTGCATGGCTGGACCTCCTAGTCATCACAAGGCCAGGGGTCCCAGCAGGGAACTGAAACCAAGGCCTGGCATGGAGTAATTACATTCGCTCTTGAATGCCTGTGGGCTAGAAGAGAGCAGAGAGGTTCACACAAAGGGAATTGTATACATCCACACTTTCTCACTGCGCGACAGCACTTTTCCTTCCAGCAAAGACTGGAATTGCAAGTCTGTTTTACACAGTAATCCAATTTCAAAAAAAAAAAATATTTCTTCTGTTTGATTTTTCACCTCATGTGGCAAGGACAAAGGGTGGTTGTATATGAAGTTAGAGAGGTGCCTTACAACCTCAGAAAGGCCTGCCTTTAGTGCAGCGTCTCCTGCGGAGCGATTTTGTATGTCATTATTCAGCGAGAAGGATTGGCCTAAATACAGAGACAGAAGGAACAGAAACAGCTCACCCGAGCCTGCCTCCATTCACCTACACACACAAGCCCCCACCCCAGGTTCAGGGGCACAGTGTGGGTGGTCAGATGTTACACGGGTGAATTTCTGCTGCTGCTGGATCCATTCATTCATCACTCTGTGCCAATGTACATCCGCACCCTGAACCTCGCCAAAAGAACATGGTAGCATTTCCTTGGATAGACCCTGACCTGTGGAGATAAGCTGGCCCTAGGAAACCCTCTCTTGTTTTATTCTTTGCAGCCAGTTGGGTGCGATGGGAGCCTGTACTCGCCCCGGACGATGGACAGATGCAGGGTGTGTGGAGGGGACGGCAGCACTTGCCACCGTGTCTCGGGCAGCTTCCGAAAGGCAGTCTCACAGATAGGTACTCCCTGCTACCACAGTCCGGAGACTTCACCTGCTACTTCTTACCACCAGCTGGCATGAAGGGTGACTGGCTTGAATGCGGGTAGGAGTTTCCCAGCTGCTTGGTGGAAAGAGCTGAAGAGTGCTACCCCTGCTTAAATGCCTGTATTTTGTCCTTTTCACTTAATCAATCGGAGGAGATTGGTTTGGTGTGCTGTATATTAGGCCAGTAAGGTTTCCCTTCACCTCTTTATAATAGGAAGCAGCTGGGGATCTATTTGTTCCTATTGATTCTGGCATCTTGCCTGCCTCAGATAATGTGAAGAGATCAATGAATCTCCTTTTATTTGTGCTACGTGTTCATTTGAAACTTAAGCTCCTGTGATGAGGGCCCCAGTGTTTGTTTCAGCCTGCACTTACTCTCCTGCTTTCCCCAGTCCTATGGCTGGCACAGCTGAGGGACGGTCCCTCTGAAACCAGGCTGAGATTCATCCCTTGCAACCTCATGGCCCATTCCTCTACCCACAGAAGGAATAGACTGCGGTATGCTCATTAGTAATTAATTAACTGTGGTTTGAGGATGTTTTGGAACATCATTTCACACTCTTCTTGTTTCACTAGTCTGCCTCGCTCTCTGCAGACACCAGACTAGGAAAGCACTCAGGCCCCTTTCCAGAGCAGGGGTAATGGTGCTAACCCCTCTAGCAGTACAGATACAGTTTTGGCCTCCCATTCCAGTCCTCATAAAATCTTACAGAACAGACAGGACCTGCATTTCTAGCAGGAAAGACAGGCTGCCAAACCACGCAACTTTAAGAGCCTTCTTATTTCCTCTCCCTTTAAAGGTAATTTTTTATGCTGCTCCCGAGACAAACTCTGTTGAGTCAGGAGCTGAGGGAACCTATGGTCTTTTCCATCCTCTGTTCAGCATCAGCCCTGACCACTAGTAAGCCTTTTCTGTGCTCTTGCCAGAAAGAGCATGGGAGAGAGCATGAGAGCACATTCATCCACACCCCTAAAGCCAGACTGTTACACTTACGCAGTTTCTTCCTGACTCCAAACCCAGCAGTGCTCAGACTGAGCCTTAGAGACCTCTGATGGTGATCAGTAATGGGACTTCGGAGGGGAGCTGGGATTAGAGCTGACAGGCTGGCACAACACGCACTCATGCCCTTAGCGTCCTGGCCCTGAAGGGAAGCACTGGCCTCCTGCATACACACTTATCTCACAAGCTGCTTTTCCTACCCAGACCTTTTTTATTCTGTCCTCGGAATGGTTTCCTCACCCTCTGTTCCCGTTCCTCAGGTTATGTATTCATCACCAACATCCCTGCCGGTGCCATGGACATCCTCATCATTGAGCGCAGGAAAACGGAAAACATCCTAGGTAAGAAGCGGACCCGGATGGATGTGGAGATCCCAGTTCAGCTGCCTGGGAGAAGGGCTCTGTGCACTCCCATCTGTGCTGTCTGTGAGCGTTTCCTCCAGGGCAGCACAGGGGCACTTCATCTCTCCGCAAACTAAGGCTACCACATCTCCGGCAGCCAGCTGCAGGAGGGGCATTCAGAGACCAAGCTCACTGTGGACAGTCCCTGTTCTGAAGACATTTGTGCTCTTGCTGGAGAGGGAGGTGAAAGCAGCAGGCGTTGAACACTGCTGATCTGTCCCGATGCAGAAGATGAACACTGGAGGGCCTGCAGTTCTTTTTCTATTGGGCTTTTCTCGGCCATGAGCTGTTGGCTCTCCTCAGTGCCAGTGCAGCCCCAGTGTTCTGCATAAGTACCGCATTTGTCCCTTTTCTCTCTCTTTGAAGCACTCACAGATGAATCCGGGCATTTCTTCTTCAACGGCAACTCCGCCATTGACAACCCCCAGAACTTCAGGGTAGCTGGCACGATCTTCAAGTACCGGCGGCCCTCAAGCCTGAACTCAGATGGGCTGGAGTATATCATAGCTCACGGGCCCACTAACCAGTCTCTGAATGCCATGGTATGTGAGGAGCTAGTTCTAGGCTTTCCTGTCTTGCCTGTGCCAAGACTGTGAGCCTCCCTCAGACAAAGGGAATATTAACGTGCTTCCCAAGCCAAACCCGAGTGTGTAGGTGGCTGAGGAAGCCAGGTATTGTCTTGTCTTGGGGAGGTGGAGGGGTCGGTGGGTGTACCCTTCGATGTATGAGGATGCTATCTTCTCTTGACATCCATCACAAAATAGATGTGGCTAGAAGAGATCTCTGGGAAATACATGTCCTTAAAATAAAAAGGGTTTTGTTTTCTTTCCCTGTTGCCTCTAGTACTATAACTTTAATGGGAAAATGCCACACATAACTTACGACTACACCATACCACGGACACCACCTCTCCGAACTGCAGCCCCTGCTGTGGCCAGACCTCTCTATCATCACCTACCAGAGACCAGCCAGAACCATCCCATCCCAGCCAACTCCAGAGCGGCCCAGGACTTCAATGCCACGTGGCTCTCCCTGTTGCCAGATGACACCAGCGAACAGCTTCCTCTAAGAGAAGGGCATGAAGATTTAGGCTTCAGCCACCCGCACTTCTTCCAAACCAACTCCACCAGTCAGACTCGGGACTGGGAACAAGGTGAAGAGAAGGAAAAGTATGACCTCCAGATAAGACAAGTCTACCATGCAAACACAGGAGAGGAGGAGGAGGAAGCAGCAGCAATTGGTGGAGAAACAGGGTTGGGTTGGTTGCTTTGTTTTTCTTTCTCTCCTGTTTTGTTTGTTGAAAGCGGACATCTCACATTGGCCTTCCTGAAATCTAAGGTAGCTTTACTGTCAGAGCAGACAGGATGGGAAGGTGGTGGAGGCTGCTGGGGAGCAGCAAGGGCCAGTAGCTCTGTAAGGGGATGGGAGCTGGGAGAGGGTAGCCACAATACAGATGAGGCAAGTGCCTCTTGGGCAGTGCAGTTGCACGGCACTTGAGCTTGGCAGGCAGGGCAGTGACAGCAACAGGTCCAGTGATCAAAAAGCCAGGTGACAAGTCAAATCTGAGGTCAATCTGGGAAAGCCAAACAACAATTCAGGAGCAAAGTACACCTGCAACATTGGCTAGGGCTGGGACTGAAGGCCCAGGAGCTCCTGAGCAATGGGCAGAGAGTGTACGGGGTTGGTCAGGGCAGTTAGGGACTGTTGGTGCACCCTGGTGGCAATTTACGATTTTGAGGCCCAATACTGAATGGTTTTTGCCTTGTTAAATACGGCATGCTGAAGTATAAGCCATCCAACATAGTTAAAGCATTTCTGTGTTTTCCTTCTAGCTCTCAGGTTCAACCAGATTTCCATCAGCACAGCCATACCCTACAGCATGAGAAGATCTGAGCTCTCGGAGAGCAGCCACGTAGCGTCCTCCAGGCTTCGTCTCTTCAGGCGACTGTGTCACCGAGGCCATCACAACACTGCCTTCTGTAGGGAGCTGCAGCAGCTGGCATCCAGACTGGCCCCGAGGAATGCCACAGCAGGACTGTGGACCGAGGCAGCTGCCCGGTGGCCACAGGGCCTCCACAAAGCGCCGGCCCGTAAGAACTCACTGGAGGACTTGAAGGTGGAGGTGTTTGCTGGGAGTCAGGGGGAAGCAGCCAACTACAGCATGATGGCATCGGTGGAGAGCCCTCTACTAGGTGCCAGCCCCGCCACGGACATCAGCCAGGCAGAGCCTCTGCACGCCCCTGGCACTGAAAGGTGGCTCTTGATTTCCTGGGCAAAACAGGAGCAGGGTTAGCTGGGGAGGGAGGGTCAAGCCAATAATCTGGTGCTGTCACAGCTGTCCTTGATATCCCCATTCACCAGTGTCTGTCCATATCAGCTGCTGTAGATTATTATCATAACTGGCCTGACACAGAACTCCCGGAATCTATTTTAGGTCCCCCTGCCTCTAAGGGATCCATTTAAATGGGTGCCGAAGGACCTGCGAGGCCAACACTGATGTGATTGTAAAGAAGGCCGGGAGTCTATAGCACGTCACACGCACATGTTTACTACCGCATCATGCCCCTTCTGTCCTGTTCCTCTGGGCACAGAAGTTTCTGTAACTTCAATAAACATTTGGCAGGAGTCTGAGGGCCAACTTTTCAACATTTCTGGCCATCCAGATGTGAACTCTCCCCACCACATTATGATAGTAGGAGGGACCTTGCTTGAGCTCCCCTTTCCAACCTGACGTCATACCCCTCAAGGTGATGGTATGAACTGAGGCTGAGGGCACCTGCGTGGTCAAAAGACCATGATATACACAAGACTCACTGTGAGCAATGCCTCCACTCAGAAGGATGTTGATCCGCGGCTATTCACAGCCTTGCTGGTTGAATTCAGGAGGTGGATCAGGGCTTTACACTCTCTGTTCATCAGTGGTCCATCTTGCCCAGGGTGCAGGAGACAGAGAGCAGGAACAGTGGGTTTCTTGCCATCTTTGGAGACAGTGAGGAGGAATTTCAGTGTATTTTATGCTTGAATCAATTTTTCATTTTTTGCTCACGCTGCCTCATTTTTCCACAGCAATGAGTTTGATGTGAGCCCCATGGGCCATGACGACATCAGCTTGGCTGACATGTATCGGTGGAAAGTCTCCGCTTATGCCCCCTGCAGCTCCACGTGCACTTCAGGTAGGTTTGGCTTCAGGTGACTGATCGTGTGAGGTCCTTTTTGGCTGTTGATGAAGAGAATACTGGTATTTTTTAAAATGGCAGGTAGAGTTTCAGATGCAGTGACTGCTCCAGTAATCTAATCATGGTGGGAGGAGGCTTTTGGATCTGATGGAGCCTGACCAAGAGAGGGTCTTGATTGCCCAGCAGGTATCAGCACCTCCTATGCGATGTGCGTCCGGTACGACGGAGTGGAAGTGGACGAAACTTACTGCGATGCCCTAACCCGACCAGAACCTACTCACGAGTTTTGCACAGGGAGAGATTGCCAGCCTAGGTGAGTGGAAACGACATCAGCTGTCCGCAGGGACAACGTGTCTTTGTGAGGATCATTTTCTGCTCAAAGTATACAGCTATTTCTGGGCTGGAAGATACGCTTGAACAGCTAAGCCCTTGTAAGCAAAAAGGGGGAAGGAATTTGCTGCCTAAATTGCCTGCTAAGGGCATAGCTGACTTTCCAGACCAGCATCCCCTCAACGCAGACGTACATATGATGAGCGGATTCATAGCAGCCACTGCTGGGTGAGGGAGTCCGAGGCGTGCAGGCACTCCCCAGCCACCTCGTGTCCCTTGTCCCCCTTACCTGGGTTTTCCTTTGTGCTTTCTCTCCTGGGGACCGCTCAGGGAGGTGGGAGACCAGCCGGTGGAGCGAATGCTCCAGGACCTGTGGTGAGGGCTATCAGTACCGCACTGTACGCTGCTGGAAGATGCTGGCTCCAGGCTTTGACAGCTCCGTTTACGACGACCTCTGCGAGTCCACTGGATTGACCAGGCCCATGGAGAGGAAAGCCTGCAAGAATAAGGCCTGTGGTCCCCAGTGGGAACTCTCCGAGTGGTCTGAGGTAGGCAGCAGGAGAGCTTTGCTCCCAGAGGTGAGCAGCCAGGGCCAGGCTGGAGGAAGGGGGCTGGTGGATGCTGGGCCCTGAGGAAGCCTCTGCCCAGCCACTTGCTGGGGAAACGAGGACTGCTGTTACCCACAGCTCCCCTGTTCTGGCACTGCCCAGCAAACAAAGGCTATTGTGAAACCTTTTTTCAAAGGTCACTTCTCAAGCCGAGATGCTGATCAAATGAAAGCCCTCTCAGCAACAGGCTTTGCCTGCCTCTTCCCAAGGATTTAACTAAAGGCAGATGGGAAAACAGCATGGAGACATAGAGGAGCTAAACCCCAACTGAAGTCCCTTCAATTGACGTTCCACAGGCTGCTTGGGACTGGGGCAGTGGAGCTGCCCAGTGACTTTGAAGAGCAGTCCAGGCCTCAGCATCTTGGAGCTCTGGAGCTCTAGGACCCAAAGTAGATAAGCAGCAGAGACAGACCCACCTTTTTCTGTCCCTGCTGGGGCCCTTCCCTTCTCCCCGAGGGCAGCAGGAGCGAAACAGGAGGAGGCATGGCTGCCTCCCTCACCTTCACTCATCCCCCTTATTCTCTGCTTCTGACTCTGTGGCCATTGCAGTGCTCAGCCCAGTGTGGCACGCAGGGGACGATGAAGCGGGAGGTGCGCTGCTCGGTGGAAGCACCCCTCTGTGACGAGTCTTGGAAGCCCAGCAGCGAGAAGGCATGCACAGGTCCGCCCTGTGACCGCGGCTGGACCGCTTCGGACTGGGGCCCGGTGAGTCTGGAGGGTCTGCTGCTCCTTGCCCCCGGTGCCGGGGTGCAGGGCTGGCATAGGGAGCAGGTGGACAGCCACGCTACTGCTCTCTTTTGGCTTTCTTCTGGCAGAGGCTAAGCTAAAGAACCTAGAACAAACTGGTTTTTGCCTCCATGCTGTAAATTTTGGTTAGCTGTGAGGTGAGCTCCGTTCAATAATCTGGGAAGCCCACAGCACCTGGAGAATGGAAGCCCCAACCAGATGTACCTCTACAGACCCTTGGGATCCAGTGCCACAGTCCCAGTGGCAGGGCCTCTAGACTCCGGTCTCCTGGCACCAGCGACCCTGACCCCTCCACCTTCCTGCTTTCTGGTGTGTCTAAATGCCCTTTATTCCTCCAAGTGCTCAGGTTCGTGTGGCGAGGGACGCATGAGCCGCTTCATCGCGTGTCGCAACCTGGAGGGCAAGGTGATCTCCGACTCGCAGTGTGACCCAGCCACCAAGCCGCTGGCTGTCCATCCGTGTGGAGACAAGAACTGCCCACCGCACTGGGTGGAGCAGGAGTGGGACCAGGTAAAGCCAAGCCCAGCCCTGTGTCCTCTGCCCTCCTTTCCACCCCACGTCCCACAGCAGATGGTGGGAGCCTGGCTCCCCTGACAGAGCAAGGCTGTATGGTGCGACCTCCAGCCATGGAGCTGTACCCTTGTCCTGGCTCCTTTTAGACAGAGGGAAGGGGTTATGAATACCCCAGCTTGTACCCCCCCATACAGTCTAGATCACCCTAAAGTTTGTGGCATTTGCTGCCTTCCCAGGGACCTCCATTGGAGGGCAGCAATGTCTTGAGGAAACTGTCCTCCTCCCCCACCTCTGGCTCCCAGCTGGCACTTACAGACACCTCAGCAGAGCTCTTTGTCAAGAACATGCATGCACCCCCCCCCCCAAGGTTTTGGTCCCACCACTAAAGAGAAAGTCACAATGAAACCAGCTTAATCTCTGGTAGAGAATAGCCAGAGGTAAACCTGAACCACAGCCCAGATCCCTGCCCTGGATGTCACATCCAGGCTGTGACTGCATACTTGCCTCAGGACTTAGAGTCCAGTGAACGCAGTCCAGGTGCCCTGTTCTACCAGACAATCTGCCTCTGCCAATCTGCTTGCTCTTCTTCTGTTGCTCAAGGGCTAGAGACTTCAGGCTCCCTGATACAAGCTGATCCAAATCCCAGAGCAGCCGGGAGGAACGCATTGAGTCAGTTGTAGGATTTGGGCTCTGTCTTTAAAGTCTTGAGCAAAACAGAGATTCACAAAGCACTAAGGAGGAAGGTTTCTAGGGAACCAGAGAAGTAGCCTCTCCGCTCTAACCGCAGTTAAACCTCCAGGCTCCTTTCGCTGCCCTTTATAGCTGTTGACTACATTCAGCTGAGTCTCCCTCCAGCACTGTTAACAAGCACAAACCAGTTAAACCTGGGGACCCGTGGCAGTCCCCTAAGCCTCTCCTGCTCTGGCCTGTGTGGGTCACACATGATGCTGCAGTGCAGTTTTTCAGCTGTGTCCAGGCTATTAAACTCACCTGAACTCTGAAAGACCGGCTGAGCTCCCCACCTTTGCGTGTGCCAGCTTCTTTGCTTTAGCTGTGTTCCCTCAGGTTCTGAGTTCACAGGATGGCTGAAGGTGGATGAAAGCCAGCTGTGCTGACCCTGCCGTGCTGAGAAAGGGCACAAAGCAGTGAAATCTCAGACTGGCAACTGCTCCTGTGTGCATCAGGGAGCAGAGCTGAACTGGAATCAGATCCTGCTGCTTCTCTTGGTGGTGTCCTGAGAGAGGGAGTCCTCCCAGCTGAGCCTGCCTGGCTTTGGGCTCTGCAGTGCTTGTACATGCAAAGTACCTGCAGTGCACCAGTTTGGTCCCCTTGGGCCCATGCAAAGCTTCTCAGTACTCCAGGATGTAGGTTGCTACATGAGTATGCTGCATGGTTTTTGAGAACACAGATACGCATAAAATAAGACAGAAGCAGCATCTTGTAGTCTTACCTTGGCTGCTCCAGGTCCCTTGTGGTAGCTGCTCTTGAGGCCAGCCAAGGTGAATTCAGGATCCCCAGTGCGGGCTAAACACAAATCACCAGCTTCCATCCCCGCTCCCTAAGGAATTCAGCTCCCTTTGCTCCTGTGCCCTGGGCAGCACTACCTCCATTAGACCGGTGTTAGCACAGGCATTAAGCATCTTGCTTCTGAGCAGGATGCCCTCTGATTTGAAGCTCCACGGCTGACAAGCATCGTTTGTTACCCATCACACTTCTCTTTCCCAGTGCGATGCTAGCTGTGGGCGAGGGATGAAGACCCGAGTCGTCTTGTGCGCGGGCCTGGAGAACGGTGTGTACAAGGAGTATCCCGAGAAGCGCTGTGAAGCCTCCCAGAAACCTGAGGAACAAGCCGCCTGTTTCAGGAGACCATGTTCAACGTGGTTCACCACCTCCTGGTCTCAGGTAGGGCTCGGGGCGGTGGGGAAGGGGTAGAGGAGGCCTCATAACCCTGGCTGGTGGAGCACGACCTTCGCTGAGGATTTCTGGCAGCCTGTTCTGCCGACGGCTCTGCCAGGTCTGGAGGGGAGCGTGAGCTCTGCTCTGCGGCAGAGCAGGCAGCAGGCGGAGGGACTGGCACAGGCAAGCTGGAGGAAACCTCAGAGCCTGTGGGTTATTGCCTCAAGCGAGAGCGTGCACCACACTGCAGGCATACAGGATACAGCCGTGTCTCCTCCTCTGCCAGGAGTCAATGTTCCGTCCTGCCCTGCTCTCCCTTGATTTTAGCTGGTGAGCGTTTAGGGAATAGGAGGACAGGAGATGCTGGGCCTGGCTTGCAGCAGCCATTTTCTCCATCTTCTGTCACAGCATCAACACTCAAAACAAAAACAAGTCCGAGTTGCATTAAAGAGATGAAATCAGACTCCTCCCTTGCTCTGCCCCAGCCTCGGTTCAGGGAGGCTCTCCTCCACAACAGAAGGGGAGCATAAGTTTGAGATCAGTGTGGGGTTGGACCCAGAGCTCCTCAAGAACACTCTCCAGAGCAGGGACCAGGAGGCATCACTGGAAGAACGAACTTGGGAACTACAGAGAAATTTAAAAATGCCTCTCACGATCCCTTTCCTCTCTCTCGGTCCCGACAGTGCAGCAAGACATGCGGTGCTGGTGTGCGGCTTCGTGAGGTGAAGTGTTACCAGGGGGAAGCGCTGGCTCAGGGCTGCGACCCCGCTGCCAAACCAGAAGCCAGGCAGATGTGCCAGCTCCAGCCGTGCCCCACAGAGGCACCAGGTATGTCTGGGAGGGCAGGGAGGGAGGGGAGCCCTTTCCTCCGTCCAGCTTTTCGCCGGGGAAGCACATCTGTCTCCTTTTTAACCCCTTCTGTGGACGCTTCTGCTCCCCAGAAGACAACTGTGAGGACAAAGTGACGGCCAACTGCGTGCTGGTGCTGAAGGTGAAGCTGTGCTCTCACTGGTACTACAGGAAGGCTTGCTGCCAGTCGTGTCGGCTGAAGTCACCCTGACTGCTGCCAGGCCATACTTCCCTTCCAAGGTCAGGGGCAAGAGCCCCTTCAAGCCAGACTTTACCACTTGAAGCCACCTCCTTTGGCTTGGCTCCAGAGCCAGTCCCTGTAGATCAGCCTGCTCAGCGAGGAAGGATCCCTAGGGCTTAAGTCATCACCGTTCCCTCTCCACCAAGAGGATTTTTACATAAGACAAACCATCCGTTCCTAGAAAGCTACTGAGGAGTGAGTTGGGGAAGTTCGTCCCTGCCATCATCATCTCTGGAGAGCTCTAGCTGGAGGCGGTGGGGCGCAGAGGCCAGCCCACAGCAGGGCACAGACGACAGCAGCCATCTCTTTGGTCTGCCCCCCCTACAGATTTTTCTACTAGAGGGGCAATTTCCAAAACACACCGAAAAATTCTGTGTCGCAATAAAGAGCTAAAGTCTAAAACTGTGGGTTTGGGATGCGTGTACCTGGGACGGAAGCAGGGGAGAAGGAGGGACACGAGAGGAACAAAAGCAGGAGCGGGGAGGGTGAGGTGGAAGAATCCTCCAGTAGAGCTTCCAGGCAGCACCGGGTAAAACCCATTTTGTGTTGCCTGCCAAAGAGCAGAAACCACTCCTGTTTTGTATTTCAAAGTCCTCGTTTATTTCTGACATTGAATCTGGACCCATAGCTGAGCAACAAAGACAGAGAATAACAACAGGAGGAATCTGAAGTGGAAAAAATCTGGGGATCCCTGCCCCTACCCTATCCTGTCCCTCCACCATTCCCCAAACCTTCTAACCCACGGCGGCATCTCCCGTGTCTCCAGCCCTTTCGCACTCCCCTGTTTCTCTGCAGCCACGCCAGACGCAGGGTGCTGCGTTAACCGTGAGGCTAACCCTCATCGGGGCTGCTCTGGAACTGCCTGGCCAGCCTTGGCGCCTCGTTAGCAGGTGACGGGTCACGCTTAATTTGCGTGTGACGAAGATGATGGTCGCCTTCCTTCCACCGGAAGGGTGATGCGCAGAAGTGAAAGCTCCCGGTGTTGTTCCCACCCTCCGGAGGTCACGGCCCGGCGGTGGGGAGCCTTGCTGCGTGCCAAGAGGTAGTGCTGGATGCCGGG